GGGACCCAATGCCAGCAGAATCGCCCGAACCCCACAGATACGCTCCTGCGGAATCCACAGCAAGCTCGCGTCAGAACCTACGGCTTGATTCATTCAATCAACAGACATTTACCAAGCAGCAGACGCAGAGAGGAGACCAGCACAAAGTGCCCAAAGGACTCACGTCTGGACCCGAAATGACCCAACCAGAGGTGGGAAAGTAGAGGAGTCGTTTAAACAGTGGTGGTGTGAACAAGACACCCCGCAGCCATTTAAAACCAAGTTGGAGAAGTCTATTTAATGAGGGAAAGTTCCAAAAATATCTGATCAAGTTTTAAAGTGCAGTAAAACAGGTTGGGGAATGAAAGTGTCTCAAAATCAGAGTGAACGCACGCGGTAGAGTCCCTCTTCTGTCTCTAAGACATAGAATTTTCACAGAGATCTGCAGTTATTTTAAAATGTACACAGTATTGCTTGGAAATAAGAAAAGGAAGCCACAGATCAAAACCACAGAGGACTTCCCCCAAAAYGCGTAAATTAAAAGACAAGAGTTAGGACTGGGGCGGTGGGGAGCGGGCAGCTCAGTGGTAGAGCATAGGTCCACTTACTGTCACAAGGCCCTGGGTTCATCTTCAGAGAGAGAGAGAGAGAGAAGGAGGGAGGGAGAGGGGGTTGAGGGGGAGGGAGGGAAGGACTCTACAACTTCAAGTAGGAATCAAAGCCACWTGATCCTCAGGGGAATGGGTCCCCAGGTCTCAACACCCCCTGGGGAAAGGGGACAGACAGCAGAATTGTGCTGCTGGCTACCACCAGGGCTGGAACACAGGTCCCACCACCAAGAGTCCCAGCCCAAGAGGAGACCCCTGTCTGAGTCAAGGAACTAAAACCAAGGCCCCCGTAGGAGAAGAGGGCCCAGGCCTGCCCCAGCTCGGTCCAGCGGGAGGAGGCCGTGGGCCCAGCTGCTGACACAGCCCTGAGGGAAGTCCTCACCCTTACAGATAAGGGACAGAGGGGACCCTAAAGTCACCCTGAAAACCAGCTCCAACAAAACCTAGAGGACCCAGGAGACCTCGGATCCACAGCTCTGCCCTCGGGAGGGTTCGTGACTGAAGAAACGAAGACGCTGGGCAATGAGAGAAAGAGCGTGTGACAAGAAGGATCTCAACATGAGGAGAGCTGTTCAGAGAAAGTTAGGGAGAAGGGACCAGTGGGGCACCCTGGGAATATAGCCGATCATTGTGGAAGTCAGAAACTCAGAGAGGCAAAATAATAGACCAGCCACACATCGACCGAGGTAGTTAACGGGAAATCTCCCCAGAGCACAAAGAGAGAACCCAGAAAAACAGGAACGAGTGTAGTTCTATGGTCAAGGAACCACAATGTGCGTGGACCCAGAAGGAGAGAACAGAAATCTGGCAGAAAAGAAACATGAGATTTTTCCAGAATCAAAGAAATACCTGAATTTTCTAAGAAAAGGCACAGAATGCAAAGTACAACAGGCAAACCCCACACAGTGGTTTGATCCCAAACCTGTAACGTAATCAACCCACAGAGCCTAGAAGGAGATACAGCAGAATGGCCGCAGAGAATTTTCCTGGTGACACTATGGGGAGCAAAATTTTAATCTCTTCTTTAAACTTTAATGTCGTTTCTAAGTGCTCCACAATGAAAAGATGCCGTTTTATAAAGTGGCTGTGGAAGAGGAGCATTTGTGATTTCAAATACACAGATACACACACACACACACACACACACACACATTTTTTAAAAAATCTTCCCTGAATGGACTTACTCCTTTAGCCGAGGAGACGAGATGCATACAAAAAGCAAAACCCGATCAGCCACAGCCATGGACGATGGCTAAAGTCTGTGTCCCAGGACACGGAGCAGGAAAACCAAGGTCCAGCCATGCACTGGACTTGCTGGGGGACCAGTCCTGMAGCCAGAATGTCTGTCCCCCAGGCAGAGCCAAAATCACCAAACCCAGAGAAGACTGGAACATTAAGCACTATTTTCACCTCTGATTTAATTATATTTCAGGACCACCAACTGATATGGGGAAAATTAACACCTCCGCTGTCAATTAGATTAACACCACAAAATCTGCCAGTCAACATTTCAATTATGATAAGGCTTTGTTCTTTTCTTCGTGTAAGCTGAGGGAAAGAAGAAAGTGTGTGTGTGTGTGTGTGTGTGTGTGTGTGTGTGTGTGTGTGTATTTAACTGATACATTAACAGCCATCCTTACCCACTGCCAATGGAGAAGTGAAAATGGTAAGATGTGTTCTGGACAACTTTACCAAGTCAGCGTCATCATACAGGGAGACACAGGCGCCCTGCAGATTTGGAGAGGTTGAAGCTTTGGGGTCGTCACGCCATCGGCATGCCCAAGAAAGGCAGAGTTTTAGGACGCATCCCAGGCTGCCTTTGGAGCCAAATAAACACCACACGACACTCAGCTCTCAGGGAACAGGTGGCAAAGGCACGTGCCAACTAGATGTGTTACTAATGGAAGGAGAGGCTCTTCCCATCTCAGATGATTTCTTTCCTTTTTAAACACATCCAGGTTTCTCAAAATATCGCCCTTTCAAACGTCACCTGCCCGTCCCACAGATGGGACCCAGCATCTGCCCCAACACTGTCCCCACTGACTTCTTCAACTCCCAACCATCTGGCCTCATCCCCAACAGTGCCACCAGAATCACAGGCAGGGCAGCCTCCCCCAGACGACGCCGAAACCCAACCACAGTGGGGAGTTTCCAACCTCCTCCGCCATTTTGAGCCGATGGATTCTTTCTCTCCCCTCCTGTCCATCCCTCCTCAACCTCTCTAAAATCCCACCCGCCTTCTCTGGAAATGACCTTTCTTTCCTGCCTCTGCCTTTTCCSGATTCATACTTCCACCCGCATCTTCATAGGCGGGGAGGGGGGTGGTCCCCTAGGACCACCTGCTGCCACCCACACCCACTGATGTCTCAAACTCACTTTGTCATGGTCCCTTCCAGGGAAGGCAGTGGCTGGTCTAGGCGGTCAGAGCCTGACATTCACTGGGTCCAGTTTCACAGGTGGGCAGGGTCACTGCTCAGCAAGGGGGTGCTGGTCCACGAACACACCCCGTTTCTGTTTTTCTGCCTACAGGTAGGTGAGTAAGTCAGGGGAGAGGCTGCACACCCACCTGTCAGTCAGTCTTAGAAGACAGACAACTGGAAAGACACTCAGGACTACCAGACCCAAGCCACCTTCCCAGATTCTCCKCAAATCAGAGTTTTCCACTAGGCTGTGTGGGGCCCCCTTGGTTCTAGAAATTTCCCCTTCAATATGGTCATTGTTTTGTGTGTGTTGAGTCAGAACTTCAGACAGGAGGTGGGATGGTGGTGATCTTGAGACCCYATGGTAATATTTAGAAGCACTGCCCCAGCCCCTGCTGGACACCGCTGTTCTCCCTCAAGCCGAGGTMCCTGCACCACTCGGTGGCTCAGTACCTCCTAAGCAATGAGCTTCTTTCCGGGCTTCCTGAAGAATGGGGCGGCCAAAGGAGAGGACCGGTTGGACTTGGTGAGATGTCAGACTGCAGCTTGAGACCAGAAACCAGCTCTCTGGTCCCATCCCCCATGATGCCGTCTAGCGAGTCTCCAAACTCCATCGGGAAGTTAGAGGAGACTCTAGTAAACCCCAAGGCCCTTTCCACTTCTGAAATGGCCCAGGCACTAGGGGCAGAGCGTGGCCATTTCTTTCATCCAAGAAAGRAGCACCCAACACTGAGAGGTAGCGGGGAGGACCTCCAACCACACGCAGGGAGCCGCTAGGCTGCAAACCATTTAAAAAGAATGTTTAATAAGATGTCACATCACTGGCGCACTTCAGCGGAATGCGTTGCAGCCCAGGAGGCCTGAAAGGATTAACACAATTCCCAGAGGGGCCAGTGGGAAGTGCTGAGCAGAGCCAGAATCCGATTTGGTGAGAATAAAAGTGCTCTGAGAACGTCAAAGGGAAAGAGACAGATGTCTCCTGCCATCTGAGGAATCATGAAGGTCTAGGGGCTGGGGACCAGCACGCCAGTACCCCCCTTCCTCCCCTTCCGGACCGACTCCCGTCCTGGCCTGCATGGAGTCAGAGTGCACCACACCTCGGTCCTTCCTTGCTCTCATTCTTCATTTTCCTTCTCCCTTCCAACCTGGCCCTCTCCCTCCAATTCAGCAAATCCCCCATCAGGCCCCCAGAACATCTCACGCAAACCTGCAAACCCCTCTCCCCTCTCCAAACCAGTGCTCCTGAGCTGCCCGCAAAAGGACCTTCCCTGTCCCCCTAAGCCAAGAGATTTGGGCGCACTCTATTTCATTTTGAAACTCTTCCATTTCAAGACCAAGATCCATGATTGGGTGCCAGTTCCTCCTGTGAGGGTCTCAGAGCTGCTGCCMGAGGACCATCCCTACCCAAGGGTCATGTCAGGCAAAGGCCAGGGCCCCTGCCCTGGGCCTGGAGTCACTGCTCCCACTCAGACCCATAGGGAGAGGAGGGTCCCTCCCAGGCCCCTCCAGCCTAAGGCTTCTCAGACTGCTGGCCCCTAGAGTTCATCACCCAGGGTGGCGAGAAGCAGGATATCTTCTGTCCTTTTGTGTTTTACCTAAAATCTCACCACAAGAGACCCACCGTTATTATGTTTTTCAAGTGATTTTTGTCACTTGTCACAAGAAGGAAAATGGGGACGCTTTCCCACGCGATCAGGTAAAGTCAATATTAGAGGAACCTGGGCCGTTCTGCTCCTGTGCTCCGGGCTCCCTCTGCGCGCGCTACTGGGAACCTCCATTCCTCCTCCCACTTCCGCATTTTCCACCTTCTTTGTGGCACACTCGGTGCCTCCCAGGACCTCACTCTCAGAACCAAGGCTAAAGCCATTTCCACTCATTTCCCAGTGGGGCCAGAGGTCAAGACTCCTCCCGCCTTCGGATTGCTGGGGGACGGGCCAGGGGAGCCGAGGACCTGCGTGGCTGCCATATTCGGCGGGCGCCCTGGGGGTCTTACCTTGTCGGCCATGATCATAGATGCGCCCCCGTGGATGCCCAGGATGGGGATGAAAGTCTGTGAGGAGATAAAATCCAGCACCTGGGCCACAGCCTCTTGGTCGGTGTCGTCCCCAAACACCAGGCCGTGGATTCGCGCCCCGGACATGAGGTCGCACACGTGCGTGATGAGGCTCTTGGGGTCGGTGCGGTTCATCAGCAAGGCTACCACGTTCACGTCCAGGGGCAGCCCCGCTGCCTGCTCGGGGCCCCACAGGTTTCGAAGTTCGCGCTCTGTCACGTCGTGGCTGTGACCCAGCAGCACCGCAATGTTCAGCGCCGGGGGACCCTTCTCCGCCGCCGCGCCCTGCGCCGGACCGCGCCAGACCAGAAGGGCCGGCAGCACCAGCCAGGTCCAATAGCCCAGTCTGCCCATAGTCGCCACTTACGGTCCCTGCAAGGTGGAGAGCGAGAGGCAGGGCGGCGGTGAGCCAGGGGCCCGGATGAAAGGGACTGCCGAGCGGCGCCAGGCGCGGAACCCAAGCCCAGCCWGAGCCGCCGTGGTCACTCGCTCCATCCCCTGTCCCCGACGCCAGGCGGACCTCTCGGCCCATCTACCACCCCACCTACAGCTCCAGGCCGGGCTGATTCTCCACCCCGGYCCCCAAGCCCCTTCTCGAATCCCGCCTCCTTCTCCTCCCCCGTCTCCAGACGTTTCCCCATCCTGGGCTCTGAGCACATCCCCCACCACGCTCCCCAAGTTAGCTGCAGACCACAGCCCCCGCTGGCCCAGGAAGCCATGGGCCCCGCCCAGCCGGAGGGTGCACCGGGCCAACCCTCTCTCCACCGTCTACACCCAGGGTAGCGCCGACCAAGTTACCGACCCCGCCCCCTGCTCACGCGGAGCCAACTACAATTCAGCCCCGGCGCGGCGCGCGGAGGCGGCTCCGCTCTCCGCATCTTCCTGAGCCCTGAGCTAGTTGACTGACCCCACCTCCTTCGAGCCCACCCGGTGCGCTAGCACCGCGGCAGACCGGCTTCTCTCCTACAGGATTCACCCCAAGCGCCTGGAAGTCAGGACGCTCGCTTTGGAGTCCAGGCTCTCTGGAGCCTGGGGGAACTTGGGGCCCACACCACCCCCCCTTGAGCCCCGGGGCCACGGAGCAGCTTTCACTCAATTGCCAGCGTCCCAGGACCCGCCCCCTACACACTCGCGTGCACACAAGCGCGCACACAAACACCCTCTCTCACGCGCGCCATGTGCAATGCAGAATTCCGGAGAGTAGGCGCGTCCCCCCGCGGGCCAGCGCGTAGGAGCTGGCAAAGAACGTGCGTGGGGGGAAAGGTAGGCTCCCAAGAAGCTCTCAGACAGACGAGGACTGTACCGCCCCTCCCCGGCCTTTCCACGGAGAACCCTATTGCCAAATCTTAGATGCACGTGGGCAGTGGGCTGCACACGCTCACAGACCACGCGCGCTTTTCTGCGCACATCCGCAGGCCGCCGTAGAGATGCCCACGGCCAGCAGGAATCCCCACACGTCCTCAGGCGGTGCACACGCCTGTGTCGCGACCAGAGTAGAGCCGCGCTGGCCTGTTAATACCAGCACAATCGTGCACGCGTGTGCAGGCGCGCGCCCCTCTGGCCAGCCACTGTTGGAACCGGGGGAACTTGGGGCGAACTCGCACCGGCCTTGGCATTCTTTGGGTGAGCACCGCGGACTGCGTGGCCGCAGCGCCCCCTGGTGCTCCTCTCGCGCCTCACTCCTGGGCTCCCTCTCCCGCTTTCTCTTCTCCCTCTCTCCTGATCCCTCTCCCGCTCTCCCTCCAATGGAGCCGCTTTCCTCCCGGCCCACCGAACCCACATCTCCCGCTGGGACGTACCTGTAGCCGGAGAAGGTCGAGGATGCAGTGGGGCGCGCTGCGCGCACGAGCATCTCGGCCGCCTCAGCAGCCACCGGGTTTAGCGGGTTCCCGCATGCTGCGGCCCCCGCGCGCTCCCCTGGCTGTCCCGCGCTGTCCGCATCGCCCCCACGGGGGGCGGCTATCCCAGCCGGAGGCTCTGCAGCAGGGCTCTGCCGGGGCGGAGGAGAGATGGAGAAGCAGGGTCAGCCCCCGGCGCGGGGAAGGGGGGTCGAGGGGAAAGCTGCATCTGCCAGGCTCACAGCCCCCCTAGGCGCCCTGGGGGCTCGCCCAGAGAGGGGAAGCTGAAGCTCAGTGCCCAAGACGCCCTCGGTGCGGATCCTCGGTCCCTGTGGCTGATAACTGTAGCTCCACTCAGGGGCGCTCGGCAGAATGGGAGCCCCAGGTGGGCCACCCACGGGAAGCTAACTGGGTACCTCCACCCTCTCGCCCCCGACCACCTCCCCGGAGCCGGCTGCTGGGAGTTGTGCGACCGGGAGCTGCTGAGCGAAGGGGGTAGGGAGAGAAAGAGGAGGGAAGGAGGGGGCGCTGGCGGAGTTTGCGACGAGCTGGCAGGAGGAGAGGGGGAGGGAAGGACGCGGGCACCCGCGGTCCCGGATCCCCGAGGGAGGTGCGATCCCTCCCACGTAGCGACCCTCTGGCGGTCCTGCCGCCCCCTCCGATCCAGGCCTTCCACCAAACCCCCCCCCCCAGGGGGCCTCCGAGGCTCCGCGTCCCGCGCCCGCACTCACCGCAGCCTCTCTCCACATAGTTCTCAGCAGTGGCCGCTCCTGGTCATCTCCAGGGCTGATGGCTGCGGCCGTGACTCTCAGCGCTCACCCGGCCCCATGCTCCGGCTAAGCCCTCGGAGCCCGCTCCAAGAGCCCCAGCTCGCTTCCTGCCCCGCTCCGGACGGCAGCCGCCTGGTCCTCGGAGCGCGCCGGAGCACCCTCTCCGCAGCCCAGCTCCAGGCTGGTGTGTGTGAGGCGAGTGTGTGAGAGTGGAGGTGGGAGCGCGCGCGCGCGTGTGGCCGGGGATCCCCGCGGTCCCCGGCCGAGAGAGGCGCGGGCGGGGGAAGGCTGCTCCCTCGGGGCCCTGGGCTGCGGGGCCAGCGCGGCTCTGGCMGCTCGGTTCCCCGCTCCTCCGCGGGAGTCCAGAGCGCCAGGCCACCCCGGTTCACCGCTCTGGCCCAGCCAGGTTCCTGGGGCTGGCTTGTGCCGCGGTCGCCTCCCAGGAAGAGGAAGAGGCAGGCAGGGGCGCCCAGCACGCCAACTTAGGGACTTGTTCTTGGCCAGCCAGCGCACAGCCCCCGCGCCAGCCCGAGACGCGTGGAGCTCCGCGGGCCGAGAGCGCCCTCGCCCGCAGCCGTCCTCCCCGGAGGCGGGCCGAGGCAGACCCCGCAGTCCCTCGGCGGCGGCGCGGAGCGCGGCCACCCGCTCCCGGAGCGCACGGCGGCGAACCAGGCCGAGAGAGGTGACTGGCTGGTGACGGGGGCGCCTGCGGTGGCGCGCGCGGCGGTCCCCGGTGCTGGATCCACGCTCTCCGCCCGCTCCCGGGCGTCTGGTGCCGCTGAAGAATCAATTATTCAGGTCTCCGCTGCCGCTTCCTCCTCCCCCAGCGCCGGCACAGCCGCGCCGACACGCACACACCCGCACAGGGAGTCTGCTCGGCGCCCCCGCCGGTGCCTCGCCGCCCCCGCCCGGAGCCCACTCCTCTGGCGTCCGGGAGCCAGAAGCCCGGGGGCCACGACACCTACATCCCCGTCCCTCCTGGCTTTCCAAGTTACACCTCACAAAAGTCGCCCTGAGGTGCCACTTCGAAACCACCAGAAGGCCGAGCCAGGAAACCTGGGACGAACGGGTGTGTGGGCTGCTGGCTGCAGTTCTGGCCACCTGGCAGGGAACCGGCAGTGAGCAGAGGAGCCCCTTCTGCCGGCACCTGCCCCTCCAACGCCGCCTCTGCCTCTCTCCCCCGCAGGCCCTGGAAGGAAAGCGGTCTTAGATCTTAGGGGGGTTTAGATTCCTGGTCCAAAGCTACACCCTCCACTTACCAGCCTGATGTCCCCTGCTGAGGTCTGAAGGTTTGTGCCGCCCATTCATAGGTTAAAATCCTAACCCTTACGGGACCGTATTGGGAGTAGGGGGCTTCATGGCGCAGAATGACTAGGGCTCTTAGAAAAGAGACTCCAGAGAGCTAGCTAACCCCTTCCCTTTCCGACAGAAGGTGCCGTCCCTGACCCAGAACCCAGCCCTACCAAACACTGAGTCTGTTTTGCCTAGATCTTGGGTTCCCAGCCCCCAGAATTGTGAAAAATAAACTTCTGTGGTTTCTAAGCCGCCCAGGTTATCACGTTTTGTTATAGCAATTCTTCAAAACATCACCTTTAGGCCTTTATTTATCTTCCCTTAATGACTGCTGATCTGGAAAATGGGAGGGGTCAGTAAAAATACCTATTTCTCAGAGTTATTTTGAAAAAAAAAAAAGGGAAAAGAGTCTKGCTAAAAGAGTCAACACCGTCTGGCACATAGTAGGTGCTCATTAATGATGAGGTCCCTTTCAGGTGGCCTGGAAGGGAGGGTACTCTTTCTAGGAAGCCGCTGTGGCTGCTGACCTGGAGACCCATGGATTTGTTAGTGAGCTGACTGCTGTCTGCCGAGTTCCCTGGGGTTTTATTACCCCAAAGACAAAGGAAGGGTAGGAAAGACCCAGAAGGCAGATGAAAATGGGGAGCTGTGTGCTCTGAGGCGGAGAACGGGAAATGGTCTGTTTCTGCAGGCCACTGCTGGGCAGGGCGGGCAGGCTGGGCCCCTCCTGTGAGTGGCAGCAGCCATTCCTGAATTTGGCACAGGGGCAGGGTTCTGATTCGGGGATGGATGAGGAAGTTAGGTTGTTTATTTAAATGAAGTATGAAAGTCAGGAGCCAGGCCTGGTGACACATGCTCAGGAGGCTGAGGCAGGAGGATCACAAGTTCAAAGCCAGCCTCAGCAACTTTAGCAAAGCCCTGAGCAACTCACTGAGACCCTGTCTCTAAATAAAATTTTTAAAAGGGCTGGGGATGTAGCTCAGTGGTTAAGCGCACCTGGGTTCAATCCCTAGTGAAATAATMATAATAATAARTAAGGTATAWATTATACGCAATAAAGGGCATGTTATGGGTTGGATCTGAGGTGTGTCCCCAAGAGCTTCTATTAATGCAGGAATATTCAGAGGTAAAATGATTGGATTGTGAGAGCTGTGACCTGATGGGTCCACCCGGGTCTGAAGGGACACAGGGCATTTCCATCRCTCCAGAAAGTGCCCTTGTCCTTTGGTCGTCAATTTGACTTCCCTCATCTAGCAGAAATCATAATTTTTATTTCCAACACCATGTAAATAGTTTTGCCTTTTTTATACCAGGAATTGAACCCAGGAGCACTTAACCACCAAGCCACATCCCCAGCCCCTTTTTTATATTTTATTTAGAGACAGGGTCTCACTGAGTGAGTCTGGCTTTGAACTCAACAATCCTCCTGCCTCAGCCTCCCCAGCTGCTGGGATCACAGGYGCACGCCACCACGCCTGACCCTTTTGCCTTTTCTGAAYGTCATATGAGTGGAATTGGACGTGTGTATTCTCGGTGAGCAGCTTTTTTTCACTTGGTATCCAGGAGGTCCGTCTATATTGCTGTATGTATTGACAGTGTTTATTTTAAACGTTGCGTTTCCAGCTTTCCTTTTATGAATAAACCACACTTTGTGTATCCAGTCTCCTATGGATGGACATGTGAGCTGTATCTGGGGAGCCTTTTAAAACCCAGATGTCTACCACAACTTCATTCCATCAAAATCTACAGGGGTGGGGCCAAGCAGGGACAATTTGGTTTAGATTTTTATTTAATTCTATTTTTTATTAATGCATAATAATTGAGCATATAATCTTTCAACGCATTCAGCATGCTATCATCAAATCAGGGTAATCAGCATTTCCTTATTCTTAACATGTCTTTTACCTTTGGGGCCTTGGAACTGCTCTCTCCTAGGCCTCCATGAAATATATAACAGGTTATTGTCAACTATTATCCCCTGACTATGCTGAGGAACACTAGGACTTGGTCATTGGATCTTTTGTTTTAGCACCTGTAATCCAATCTCCCCCCAACCCGCTCTGCTACTGCCCTTCCAGCTCCTAAGAGAATCACTATTCTACATTCAGATCAAGTTTTTTCCTAGCTTCCACCAATGAGAGGGAACATGCAGTATTTATCTTTCTGTGTCTGCTTTATTTTGCTTAGCATAAGATTTTTATTCCTATTTATAGCTGAATACTATTCCAGTGAGCCTRTATGTACCACATTCTCTTTACCCATCATTCACTGGTGGACTCCAAGGTTGATTCCACACCTTCGCTACTGTGAACAGTGCTGCAGGACATTGGTTTTAAATCCACTGACGATTCTGCTGATCCCTACATTTTCCATTCTTGAACGTAGATACTGACCTGGAAATGGATTCGTTGATGAAAACCACTGTGTGGGGAGCCGGGAGTCATTGGTGCCCAAACTTGTAGAAAGGTGGAGAAGGCAGATGCGGTCTCTTGAATGGAGGAAGAAGACAGTCGCTCATTCAAAGGAACTTTCGGTCGTTGAAGACTGCCACTGTCYGCTTGTGTTGCACCGGGATGGACGTGTCCCCAGCGTGCTGAGCCCTTGGGTCAGCCACCACCCACGTGCACGGGATCATGACAGCCTTCCCCATGCAAAGCCACAAAGCTAGACCCACCCAGAGCCTAATTTGCTGAATAGGATATTGTCACTCGGGGGCTTCAGATGGCAGGCCCCCTGCATCACAGCTATCCCACCCAGGACCGTGTTTAAAAAGGAAGAAAAGAAAGAAAAAGGGGAATCCATGCAGTGCTACTGTGCAGCGGATTTTGTAAATTGACTTTGTCACTGATCCCAACACTCAAGTAACTGAAGTATCCAGTCTGGACCTAAGGAGCAAATCGGTTGGTCTTCTAACGCTACCAAAAGAATGACCCCGTGGTCACCCTTGGGGTTGAGCGCCATTGTGAAAGACCAGTCACTATCCTGTGTCCCCAGGACAGAACTGAACCGAGCCTGTCACGGATGATGCTTCTCTTCCTGTCTCTGAGCTCAAAGGAAATTGGAAAAGAATCATAGCAACATGAAGCGGAGAAGCCTTCGTGCCTGCCCTGGTTGCCCCGTGGCTGTTCTGAAGTAGGCACCCACCTGAGTCGCGGAAACTGGGTTCTTACACCAAGGGTCTGAGAAGGCCTGCGGGGGAAATGGTTTGGGTTTCAGGATACCTCGCTCAGAGAAGCCTACTGCACGCCACAGGATGGCTGGTGATCTCTGCTCGGTACTGTTTCTCTGGATGTCCCCTGAGRACTTCCGACTTGGTCCAGCACCTCTGTTTTGCACAGGGAGAACTGAGGCGCACACTCTCCTGAGCCCTGGCGYGAGCACCACCCGACGCTGACCACCTCTGTCTCTTGGCTTTCTCTGAGACCCTGAGCTGTGTGTTACCAGCTCAGCTTTCTTCTCTTCAGACCTCCGCTTCCCCGTTTGTAAAAGAAAGGGTTAGATGATCCAGGATGACCTCGAACCTGCGTCCTGAAGCAGGGTAGATTAGGGGACCTTGTCACCTTATTTCCTTTGCCCCATCTTACACAGGGCTAACTGGCACACACAGGCCCGCTTCTGCCCGGCTGCCCCCTTCACAGCTRAAACAGTGGGCCAGTCCCTTAGAGGAGATCACCAGACCCTACCTCTCAAAGGCCTGCCTGCACAGAGCTCCCAAGTGTGACCCACAGTCACCTGCAAGGACAGATCACCTACTGAAGACCCCATCC